TTGGTGGCGACCATCCCCGGGGTCGTCGGTGAAACTTTGGCCTACGACACCCTCCACATTCTCGAGGAAGGTGTTACAGCACACATTCTTGCAAACTGCTGCTTTGACTTCGTCATGAAGCCTGGCTGGGTAGGCGGCCAAGATGTGAAGATGAAAGCATTGTTCCACAGGGTCTTGCAGCAATACGAGGAGCTTTGCATCGCCTCGGAGAACAGAATCGGAAGGCTGCAGCCGTCCAATTTCTGCAATCCGAAAAATAAATTCGGACAATTCCCGTCCATGTCAGGCATCAAAGCCCGACACTTGAGGTATCTGGTCCCGTGTTTCCGAGAAATCTGTGACCATGAAAAAGATGAGAGAAAACCATACACCGTGCACAGGTGGAGCTGCTTGCATCACATGGAGATAGTGTACCAATGTCTGGAGAAGGCCAGTTTGCATTTGGATCCTGGAGCCCGGAGAAGAATCGCATCTTCAATGGACTTGTGCCTGCAGCATTACACCAAGTGCTGCAAACTCTGCATGCAGGAAGGGTTTCTGCAGTGGAACATTACACACAAGCATCATTTGTCCTGCCATCTTGCAGCCCAAGCTCAGTACCTGAACCCGAAATTCGTCAGTACGTACACCGGGGAGACGATGGTGGGGTACATGGCCAGCCTTGGCCATGCCTGCCTGAATGGCACTCCTCCTCACCTGGTGCCAGAGAAAGTATGCTGGAGATTTCGGTTAGGCATGTGGCTGAAGCTTTTAGGCCAAGACTTCGCTGAGGACGAAGCTTGAAAATGAAGATGCCCGTTGCAGAAGCTTGTTGGATCGATGTGCCCTGTGCAGAAGCTTCTTGGATCGATTTCGGCTGGTGGGTCAGAGGGGGGGTGCGGGGCCCTGAAGAAGGGCTCCCTACACCAGCCATGATATTGTGCTCTCCGTCTCCGTCTCTCTGTCTGTCTGTCTCTATCTCTCTCTGTGTCCGATTTCGTTCTCGTCTGTCTACACATGTACTGTATGTAGAAATTTATATA